CCCCATCGTCTAGTGGTTCAGGACATCTCTCTTTCAAGGAGGCAGCGGGGATTCGACTTCCCCTGGGGGTAGGGTACTACGAAAGGAAGTTGATCGTGGATTATCAATAAGGACTTAAATTGATTTTTCCTGGGTCGATGCCCGAGCGGTTAATGGGGACGGACTGTAAATTCGTTGGCAATATGTCTACGCTGGTTCAAATCCAGCTCGGCCCAATAATTCGCCGATCCACCATGAAATGATGTAACCATTTGTTGTTCTCCGGAAATGCCCAATGAGCTTTGATACACAAGAATAAAAATCTGCTACATCCCTACCACTATTTATTTTTTTACGTATTTTTTCCACAAATTAAGATCTTGCTAATGATCTAGATTCATATCAAGATCTGTAAGTATAAAGTCTAAATAAAAAGAGACTCTTTTTTATTTTCATTGATTTATTGAAAGATTTATTTTCAATCGATTTGGAAATAACAAACAGATTACTAGTAATCCGTGTAGATCTCGCTAAAGTGCATATCCATATAAAAAAAGAATATCAATATATTAGTCCCGCCTCCGCCAGTTAGAACAAGACAATTCTAATCTAAAATCGAAATAGAAAAGGTTTGAATGAAATCGTAAGAATATGCATGCTGTACATTTTTTTTCCTGGGATTGTAGTTCAATTGGTCAGAGCACCGCCCTGTCAAGGCGGAAGCTGCGGGTTCGAGCCCCGTCAGTCCCGACGGATAGAAATCCAATAAAAAAATACATCAATTCATTTCTTCTGTGAAAGGGAGTCAAAATAACAAACATAATCTCATTCCTAACAGGGATCTCCCCTTTTTTTCTTTTTTTCGTTTCACATTTCTCATCAAACCAACAGGGTAATTTCCATTTCTTCAACTAATACTGATTGATGGAAAAGAAACATATGTGGATTAGCACAATTATTAGTAGCCTCATATTCAGGATTCCAAGAGAAGGAGATACCATACTACTAGACCTGGCTTTTTCGATTACTCCTGATCTGTGTAATGAAATAGAGTACTATAGAATATGTTTACAGCGAACACACACACACAAATGGAATTTGCACGATACAAAAAAAAAGGAGTTCCTTTGATTTTGATAGAACACTTTAGGATTCAAAGTTTATCCTTTGCTGGCTCCGATTTTGTATAATCTCAAGTACTAAGTACCTATTTCAATTCCTAATTATTTGCATTTTAAACAATCTATCTCATTCCAATTTCACACTGAACTTTTGATATATGTTTATCCTATTACTAATTGAAGGATGAGAATATTAAAAAAAAGTAAAGGAATTTTTGATTGGATCAGAAATCCATTTTTGAATTGGGTATGGATAAAAGATCTTCCTATGTTATACTATTCAATTCTTGACGATGAATCGATTTGATAGTTCAGATATTGTTATTCATGATATTGATCCGATTCGATATCATCGAGATGTAATTTATACCATTGAATTTACCGACGAAAGATTTATCATCTCTATGGGATTAAATCCCGAGTTATTGCGAATTAAAGAGAAATCTAACGATGAGATTATGGAAGTAAATATTCTCGCATTTATTGCTACTGCACTGTTCATTCTAGTTCCTACTGCCTTCTTACTTATAATTTACGTAAAAACGGTAAGTCAAAGTGATTAATTTGACTTAAACTTTACTTCTTAGTTCTTATCAATGCAATGATGGAAGAAAAAATGAAAAAGGATTTCAATTTTGCGTCTTACTCTTAAATGAAATGATCGGACTAGAATCAGCAGTATTCTATGAAATCTGATAGTATGGTAGAAAGAAAAAAATCTATTTCTTTCTACTATACTATCTATTATTGTAGTGTATAAAGTTTTACTCTATGAAGATAGAGGTTTAATATGAATCGATTTTCAATATCTATCTTCATATATATAGAACATCAATCACATATATGTAATGCACATAGCGTCCCAATTTTTTTGTTTATTTGTATTGGTTCCAATCAATCTGAAATAATCAAAAGGCAACTCTTTTTCGTCCGATTCGAATTTCTAGATTTCTGATTATTTTCAAGACCAATCCCGGTATCATATTAAAAAAATCAAATAATCTTTTTTTTTTTATTTTTAGCATTCCAAAGAAGTAATTGATTAAGAAGAAGTAATTGATATTGATTAAATTAAATAGTTAACAGATGATCCAGGGGTTTTCTATGGGAAACTTTTTCCTATTTCGAAAATTTTAGTAAAACCCAACGGATTTTTAACGTTTGAACTATGATATGAAATGAAAACAGAAATCCAATTTTGAAACTCAAATAAATAAAAAACCAAATAATAAAACAAGCGATAAGCACGTAATATGTGACTCGCCTAAGGCAACGTCAATATCTTATTATGTGTAGTATCTCCTTAGACAACTACTACGTCTATCTTGTTTCCTATAGAAAGCGTGTATCCGCGCTTAATAACTAATAAAAAAACGGGTTCCGCGGTTCCTCATTGTCCA